CCAGACTGAACATCAAAGACCTCAAAGAGAGCGATTTCTGGGGCGACAGGGTGGCTCAGTCAGTTAAGTGCCCAACTCTTGATTTCGGCTCAGGTCATGATCTCAGGATTGTGAGATCGAGCCCCACATTCGGCTCCATGCTGGTTGTGGAGCCTGCTTAAAATTCTCTCTCTCCCTTTGTTCTTCTCACCCTAAAAAAAAACCTAAAAAGAGAACAATGTTTAAGTAGGGAACTTTTGCAGAATGCAAGGACTTTTCAATAAAAACTCCCTCTTAAGGTGATGAACTCTGTTCCTAGAAGTATTCAGATAGAGACCAGGTCATGATCTGTCAGGATTACCACAGAAAGGATTCTTAACTTGTGCAGGAGCTGAATTTGGCTCCTGAATTTTCACTCTGTGATTCTTTGTTTTCCTTTAATAGGAGTTCTGTGGTTTATAGAGCCCAATAGCAGTAAGAACTGACATTTATGGAACCCTGATGTGCTAGCCAGTAGGCTAAATCAGGTGTATTGATCACCTTACTTTTAAGTTTCACAGAAGTCCTACGGGGTAGGTACTATCTTTCCCATTTTACCAGTGAGGAAACAAAGACTTAGAGAAGTTCAGTGAATTGCCCAAGTTATATAGCTAGCAAGTGGCAGGGGCTGGATTTGAACCCAGGGTATTTGACTCTAGGGCCCTTGTCCTTATCCTCTACCTTAGGCTGCTCCCTGAACAGCTTAACATATTTGTTTAATTCATCCAAATGTGATTTGTTTCAGGAATATAATCATGTCTTAAGTGTGATATTTACATTGCCTATCTGTAAAAAACATCAGTTTAAAATAACGAGTACTTCTCTAATTATCAAGAGATACACATACTTGCACAGAATTTGAAAAATCAAAATCATAATCCTACTACCATTAGGTAATCACTGTTGTCAGTTTGATATTCAATTACTGGTACAACTTTATTTTATTTTTTTAAAAGATTTTATTTATTCATTTGAGAGAGAGTGTGTGCACACAAGCAGAGGGAGAGGGAGAAGCAGACTCCCCGCTGAGCAGGGAGCCTGACACGGGGCTCATCCCAGGACCCCGAGATCATGACCTGAGCTGAAGGTAGATGCTTAACTGATTGAGCCACCCAGGTGCCCCTACTATGTACAATTTAAAAAAATAAATTAAAATGGCAGATTGTTTTCAGTCATGGAGGGTGGTGAGGCCCTGAAAGCTTTGGATCCCAGAGCAAGCCCTTAGAGAGGTATCTTAGTCTCTTGGGGCTGCTAAAGTAGAATACCACAGACTGGGTGGATCATAAAAAACAGAAACGTATTTCTCCCAGTTCTGGAGGCTGGAAGTCCAGGAGCAAGGTGCCAGCATGGGTAGGTCCTGGTGAGGGCCCTCTTTCACAAGGCGGACTGCTCACTTCTCATTGTATGCTCACATGACAGATCAGGGAGGCAAGCTTTTATAAGGGCACTAATCCCATTCCTCGGGGCTCCACCCTCATGACTTCACCTAACCCTACTCACCTTCCAGAGGCTCCACCTCCTAATACCATCACATTGGGGGATAGGATTTCAACATATGAATGTTAGAGGGACACAAACTTTCAGTTTGTAATGCAAAATTTGATTTTTCTCACTTCTGGCCCAGCGTCGAATCATGCTGTTTCTTTTTAGCATCAAGGCTCAGTAAGGGGAAAAATGCTTTTTTCATTGGAATAAACAGATTTTTGTAATTGGATGATTAGAGACATTTATCATAAAATATAACACCTTGAATTGAGTTTTATTCATTCAATGAGTATTTATTATTATGAGCTCTGTGCTAGTTCCTGGGGATATATGTAGTGTTGAAGGAGCCAGGTAAGGTCGCTGTTTTCATGGAGTTTACAAGCTAGTGGGAAAGATAGACAGTGAATGAACCAGCAGTTATTCATCAGTCAGGCCACTGGGAAAACATCAGAAATATTGCTGAATTTTTTTTTAATATTGCTGAATTTTGACAAATGTGTGTACCTGTGTAACCCAAGCTTCCATCAAGACTTGGAATGTTAGGGCGCCTGGGTGGCTCAGTTGTTGGGCGTCTGCCTTCGGCTCAGGTCATGATCCCAGGGTCCTGGGATCAAGCCCCGCATCGGGCTCCCTGCTCTGTGGGAGGCCTGCTTCTCCCTCTCCCACTCCCCCTGCTTGTGTTCCCTCTCTCGCTGTGTCTCTCTCTGTCAAATAAATAAATAAAAAAGCCTAAAAAAAAAAAAAAAAGACTTGGAATGTTACATGCAATTCTAGAAAGTTCCCTCTTGCCTGAAATGCTCTTCCCTAGAATTTTTCGTGACCGGCTCTTTTTTTGATACTCAGTGCTCAGCTTAAATCTCTTCCCTGTAACCCCCTACCCCCACCCTGAGGCAACTACTGTTCAGATATTTTTCTACTATAGATTAATTTTAGTTGTTCTTGAACTTTATGTAAATAGAACCATACAGTATCTCTTTTGTATCTGGCTTCTTTCACTCAGCCTAATATAATTTAAGATTCATACATGTATCTTTAGTTTTATGAATAAAGCTGTTACGAACATTCTTAAGTTTTTTTTGGATAGATTTAATTTATCCAACTTGGGACTCAGAGAACTGTACTAGATCTGATGACCTCCGTCTTCCAACTCTTCACTACATGGATGTTGAGTTTCTCGATCTATCCTTCATGTCTCTGCTATGTTTTCTGCATCTTTCTGTGCTACATTCTGAGTGAGTTCCTCAGATTTATCTTCAAGTCCCTAACTCTCTCTCTCTGTCTGATCTACTATTTAACCTGTCTGTTGATTATTGAACTTTTAAAAAATTTTAACAAATATCTTTCGTGTCTAGAATTTCTACTTTTTGTTGTCTGCTGTTCATGTTTTAGCTTTTATTTTCCTTAATTTCCCCGAGTGTTGTTATTTTAAAGTTCCTTTCAGATCTCAGATATGGATATTTTTGTTTGGTTCTTCTGTGAACTGTTTTTTATTGGCTCTAGGGTTTTTTGATTTTTGTTTTGTTTTTATTCATTTATGATTGCTCTGCTAGGGACTGATCTTCTGTGGAAGTCCTACGTGTTTCCTGTGTGTTAGAAACAGACACACACACACACTCCAACAGAATGCACCAATTCTAACCATTTTAGTTTTAGGTTCTTGGCTTAGGGTTTTCTTTTGTGAGGATAATGTGAACTTGGCCCCTGTACTGCTTCATAGTGCAGGGTTGAGGGACTGTCTTCCTATGAGGAGCTCTGTTCATACTCTCAGCCTTGGGCAGGTGGCTTGCCTGCATCATGGTGGGTGAGTACTTTCAGTTCCTGTTCATGGACAAGGTAGTACTCTCCAGGGTCCCAGCTGTACCCTGGCCTCGTGGCCTAGACTTCTGGTCATGGGCTGGTATGAGTTCTGGTCTCTGCCCAGCTATCTCTCCCACCTACTTCCATTTCTGGCACCTGATGATTTCCCTTTCCTCTTTTTGAATTTAACTCTGTATTATACTTTTATCTTTTTAATGTCTTCTCCAGCATTTTGTATTGTTTCCAGTGAGAAAGGGAGGGTTTTTTTTAAACATCTTCTCAGAATATTTTAACTAGAAATTTGTGCAAATTCTTTAATCTCATTAAGCCTTAAGTAAAAGTACTGGAGAAAGTATACATGAGTACTTAGCACAGTTTCAGCAATAAAGTAAATCTTTTTAAAACAGCTTTCATTAGCAGTGTTGTGATTTCATTTTTCATCTCCAATGCCAAATATTTCTGTAGGTATGATGATAGCCCAGGGTTGTTGTAAATATTAAATTATTTAAAAAATAACTGTTACCGAAACTTTGAAAAATGATTAAAATAGTACACATTCAGTGGTAAACTCTCAGCCATAGAGAAGCATAGGCAGGGTCTAGCAGATCACTGTGTCTTTGGGCATTAGAGATTTTAGGCCAGAGCCCACAGATAGGTGGCACAGAGCCCAGAGTGTTTTTGTTTGGCTGGTACAATGTTTTAAAAACTGTAAATTTGTTGCTGACACTTAAAAATAGTGACATTTCCCATAAAATTTATTTTATTTTATTTTTTTTCAAAGATTTTATTTATTTATTTGACAGAGAGATAGCGAGAGCAGGAACACAAGCAGGGGGAGTGGGAGAGCGAGAAGCAGGCTTCCTGCCGAGCAGGGAGCCCGATGTGGGACTCGATCCCAGGACCCTGGGATCATGACCTGAGCCGAAGGCAGACGCTTAATGACTGAGCCACCCAGGCGCCCTCCCATAAAATTTAGATAACTGACTTCTCTTGAGTAATGGAGTTATCTGACTATACTGGGCCTGCTTCCCAAACAGGATCAATCACCTTGTGCTGAATGAAGTCTGTCCCATGATTTCTTTCCGTGACTGAGGCCAAGGGCCACTTACCCTTTATTATTACACATTTTCTGTTGTTATTTAAATAGTACAGAAATAGTACTACATATCCATTTCTCTGTCAAAAATAGGAAAACAAAAGATAGATGGAGAAAACCACGTGTGATGAGAAAAATGGAAGAGAGACTATTGTGTGGGGTTTCCCTGACTAAAGCCATCTGCCATTCTTATTTTTTTTAATTGTATAAAATAATAGAACATCAAACTGATCACAGTAGTCACCTAAGGGCAGTAGGATTTTAATTAATTAATTAGTTAATAATTTTATAATTAATTTTGATTTTTCAAATTCTGTACAAGTGTGTCTATGTTCAGACGCCCTGTTGTCATATGATTAAGTGACTGCTGGGCAGCTGGTAGAGGGCAGGGGGCTTTCCTCGGGTGAGAATGAAGGTGGAGATGGAATACAGAAGGTACAAAAGTGAGAAAAAGAAATACCGCTCTTTCCATGTGGAAATCTGTAGCATTTTGTTTTAGTTTGTGGACACATAGATTATAAGTGGAGCACTTTTTAGGGGAAAACATCTTTCCATCTAGGTTTAAATTCTGTATGTAAATACATTGTTGCCACTTGTTTTGCAGATTGTGGGATTAGTGATATGCTTTCCTAAACAGCAGAAAAAGTTGAAGATGTCTAGATACTTAATGGCTTTGACAGTGACCACCCTCATCGGTGTGGCCGTGGGGGGGTTTGTCCTGTGGAAAGGCATCCGGCGGCGGAGGACTAAAGCGAGCTCGGACAGAGGGCAGCAGCGGCAGCATCCGCAGCATCCGCAGCATCCGCAACATCCGCAGCATCCGCAGCAGCAAGCACCAGGCCGGAGGGAGCTGCCTCCTCCAGAAGAGGTCCGGCTGCGCGCCAGGGCCCCCGGAGCCTCATGGGAGGAGAGGATCCTCAGAGCAGAGGTGGTGACTGTGTCTCAGGAGGCCGAGTGGGACCACATTGAGCCCTTGCTTAGGAGTGAGTTAGAAGATTTTCCAGTACTTGGAATCGACTGTGAGTGGGTAAGTTAAAAAGCAAAAACAAAACGTGTAAATCTTTGCTGCTTTTCTAACTAGGTAACTTGAATGGTCAAGTAGAGGATAAGATTAAAGGAGAATTAGCTTGTTCTCAGCTAGCTCACAAATAGAATTTAGCAGAAGGAGAAGCTGCTTCTCTTCTCAGGATAGGGGTGTGCTTATAAACATGGGTTCTAGAGTGAGACATACCTGTACAAGCTCCATTTTGACCACTTATCATTCTTTGAACTTGGATGAGCTACTTATCCTCTCAGAGTCTCAGTGAACTTGTGTCCCATAGGGATGTAATGGTATCTCCCTCCCAGGACTTTTCAAAGGATTCAAATAGACAAGCCCTATAAAGGGGTTAGCATGATTTTCACATACAGTCAGTGCTCATTAAGTATTAGCTACTATTAATATTTTTAATAGTATTTTCATAAGGATGCCATGGAGAAGATAGTTAAGGAAGTCTACTTAAATGGGAATTATTACACAAAGTAGCATTTAAAGAGGTAACAGTTAAAATTTGAAATACTAATTACCCTCAGCCAGGTACTTTGCTGTTTTGTTTCCATTATCTCATTTAATTTCCACAGTAATCCATTGTAGGAAGATACTATTGTTACCTTCACTTTACAGCTAGGAAAGGAGGCATAAAAAGGTAACCACTTGAGCCCAGGGCTTTCTTAACCATCTGGTTAATCAATCTTTCCTTCTTTCTTTTTCTTTCTTTCCTTCTTTCTCTTTCTTTCTTTCTTTCTTTCCTTCTCTCTCTCTCTTTCTTTCTTTCCTTGATTTTATTTATTTAGAGAGCTCACGAGTGGGGGGAGGGGCAGAGAGAGAGGGAGAAGGAGATCCCAAGCAGACTCCATGCCAAGTACACCGAAGCCCGACACGGGCTCAATCTCACAACCCCGAGATCACAACCTGAGCCTAAATCAAGAGTCAGGCAGTTAACCACCTGAGCCACCCAGGCGCCTGACATCTGGTTTTTTCTCATAGGTCTTCCTTTGGGTGAGTTGTTACATAGTTGGGATGAGGATCATATGGTGCATCTATTCCTCTGTCATCCTGATTCACAGAGTGAACTTTAATCTCCTTGAAACAGAAGATATTATAAAAGTATAAATAAATCATAGTTATCATTTCTTACTAATTCAGTAGAATGCCTTGCCAAGATTCTCTGATGTATTTCTTCTGGATATTTAGGATATGGCCTAGAGCCAGGACCTGGAATCAGAAGAGGCTCTAAGCAGAAAAGCTGCCACAAAATCAGGTCAGAGCAGGGTGGGAGGCCTAGCAGATGCCAGGGCAGTGATGATCAAGGGTACACGTGGCAGCGTGGGCAAGGCTTAGTAGTCACACAAGACCTCATACCTTGGGTACTGGAGGCTATTTCATTGTATCAGCAATAATAGTAGTTGTTTCTACCAATGACCTTGGGCAGTCAGGAAAGGATTGGATACTTTTGGTGTATTCTATATAAGAAATTATATCATTTTAGAAATATTTATACCAACAATAATAGAAGAAGCCATTGCTAAATAGTGAGCTTTAGTAGACGAGGAAAGTTCACTTTTGCCAAACACCTTGATTTTCTAATTAAATGAAGTATCAGTGCAGCAACAGGGTAGTTTGAAGTGAATAGTTAGTGATAGTAATTGTTTAATTACTATCATGGATAGTTGGATAAGTTAAAGTTATCCATGGCATGGATAAGTTAAAGTGGCAAGTAATCCCAAACCTACTTTATTTTGGTTTTGGGTGAGTATTGAATGCCTGCTGGAGGCCACATCTCCTTCAGGTGTGATTGCATTTCCCTGATTATGGCTGCAGAAAAGCTTTAGGAAGAAAATCATTCATTCCTTGTTCTCTCCATTCTTCCATTTCTTTCTTTCTTTTTTAGAGATGGGGGAGGGGCAAAGGGAGAGGGAGAGAGAGAATCCCAAGCCGACTCTGCACTTAGCGCAGAGCCTGATGCTCCATCTCACAAACCTGAGATCATGACCTGAGCTGAACTCAAGAGTTGGACACTTAACCAACTGCCCCACCCAGGCGCCCCTCCATTCTTCCATTTCTATTTCCCTTCCTCTTTTATTCACTTTTTGTTTTTTTTTTAGATTTTTATTTATTTTATTGGTCAGAGAGAGAGAGAGATAGCGCAAGCAGGGGGAAGCAGGCAGAGGGAGAAGCAGGCTCCCTGCTGAGCTGGGAGCCTGACTCGGGGCTCCATCCCAGGACCCTGGGATCATGACCTGAGCCAAAGGCAGACGCTTAACCAACTGAGCCACCCAGGGGTCCCCACTTTTTGTGTTTGTTTAGCTATGGTTTTTGTTCCTTTGAACACAGTGAGTGTTTGGATTTACTGAAGCGTTTACCTTTTTATCTGCTCATTTTCCCCTTATCTCTCAGACCTTCCTTTTGGGATAATTTTCTTCAAGGTTATCCTTTAGAAGTTTGTTTGTTTGTTTTCCTTCCTTCCTTCCTTCCTTCCTTCCTTCCTTTCTTTTTTTGAGGGAGAGAGAGAGAGCTTGAGAGCCATTTGGAGGGTGGTGCAGAGGGACAGGGAGAGAGAAAATCTTAAGCAGGCTCCACACCCAGCATGTCTCCACGCCCCATTATGGGGCTCCGTCTCACGACCTTGAGATCATGACCTGAGCCAAAATCAAGAGTCAGTCACTCAATCGAGCGAGCCTCCCAGAAGCCGCTAGAAGTTTATTTCTTGAGGGCTCATTAAACTTATTGTCATTGTTATTGTTTGGAAAGTGTCTGTATTTTACTCTTGATCTGAAAAGATACTTTCACTGGATAGAAAACTCTAGCTTGGCAATTAATCATCATTCTCAAGACAGTATTCCATTGTCTTCTGGCTTCCATTGTTGCTGTTAACTGTCAGTCTAAATGTTGATTCCTCATAGTAATCTAACTTTCTGTAGCTCCTTCTAAGATCTTCACTTTGAGTTTGTGGTTCTAAAGATTCACTGTGATGAGGCTAGGTGTTCTCTCTGTATTTCCAGCTTGGGATTCAGAGAGATAGCTGGAAATGAGGATTGGTATCTTCTTTGAATTTTTAAATTCTCTTTGAAAATTATCTTTACCTTGTTTGTTCTTCTCCTCCTCTCCCCCCTTTCCTACTCCTTTTCCTTCTCATCTTCCTCATCGTGCTCCTTCTTTCTTGCTGGAATTTGATCAGCTGTATTCTCAACTTTTTATGCTATCCTACATGTCTGGTAATCTCTTACAATATATCCTACATTACCAGACATGTAGGATAGCATATATATATATATATACCCCCCTATAATTTTAAAGATTTTATTTATTTATTTGAGAGAGAGAGAGTGAGAGGGTACAAGCAGGGGGAGGAGCAGAGGGAGAGGGAGAAGCAGACTCCCTGCTGAGCAGGGAGCCCAATGTGGGGCTCGATCCCAGGACCCTGGGATCATGACCTGAGCCAAAGGCAGATGCTTAATGACTGAGCCACCCAGGCACTTCTCTCCTTTATAGTTAACATAATTGTCATCCCTCTGGATTCATTCTGCACAGTTTCTTTAGGTCTCTTTTACAGTCCCCTTTTTTCTTTATTTAGTTTTGTCTCATCTATTTAACTTGCCCCTTAGGTCTTTTTTTCTTAACCTTTTTTTGTGAAATAAAACATATCAAGAAAAGTGCCTGAAACAAAAATAGCTAAATGATTTATCTGAACAGAACAGCTGTGTAACTAGAAACTAGGTCAGGAAATAGAAGATTGCTAGTACCCCAGGAGCTCCCCTTATGACCCCTTGTAATCGTTATCCCCCAAGGGTTATCATTATCCTGATTTCATAGTATTCACATTCTTGTTTTTCTTTATACTTTTATTACTCAAGCATGTATCCCTAAGCACTATAATTTGGATATGCCTGCTTTTTAAATTTAATATATATGAAATGGTCAAGTATGTATTCTTTTGTATCTGTCTTCTTTTGCTCAACATTATGTTTGTGAGATTTGCCTATGGTGTGTGTGACTGTGATTCTTTGCCATATAGTAATCTATTGTATGAAACTATCACAATTTATTCATCTATTCTAATATTGATGGATATTTGGATTTTGTGATTGGGAGCACTTACAAAGAATGTTGCAGTGAACAAATGCACTCATTATTTTTGGGCATATGTATCTATGAGTGGAGTCCTGGATTGTGGAATTGTGTATATGTTTAACCTATATGGATAATGCCAAGCTGTTTGCCAAGGTGGTTTTCACTAATGTATCCTCCAATCAGTATTGTATGAGTGTAACCATTGTTCCAGTTGTTTTCAGAAGTGGTTCTACTGATTTACCAAGACTATATGAAAATTATCTTTGTCATATATCTTGTCAACCTTTGATATTGTCAGATTTTTATTTATTTTTAATTTAATTTATTTTTTAGTACTGTCAGATTTTTAAATATTAACCATTCCCATGGGTGTGTAGTAATATTTCATTATGGTTTTAATTTTCACGTTCCTGATTACTAGTGAGGTTAAGCCTCTTTTTAAAAAGATTTTTTT